ATCGTTTGTTCATACCCCCGTCAAATCATTCGCTGACGCATTACGAAGTGGTGCACAGACTCAATCGGCCAAACGACCGCGCGTTGATAACTCACCGAAAATTCCTCCGAAAGCTAAAACCACGAAATTTGAAGCCCCACCGCCAAAAGTGGGTACAAAATCAGCCACACATCGTCTGAATGTTGTAGTAAAGCCGAAACGAATTGAAAAACCAGTGTTTAAAAAGGCAATTTGGATCTCTGGCTTCAAGCCAATGACCACATCCGAAGAAATTATCGAATACATTGTGAAAGAAACATCGGTAAACGAACAATCGAGATTCAATGTGCACAAACTGGTGAAAAAAGACAAAGATGTCACCACATTGAAGTTCGTTTCGTTCAAAATCGAATTAAATGAAGATGATTTTGACATTTTGATGAATCCGGAAGTGTGGGAAGAGGATGTGCTTGTGCGTGAGTTCTTGCAGAACAAAACTTTGGGTGATTTTTTCCCGCCATTAAATCCGAAAAACATCAGCAAGTCACCGGCACCAGATTCAATGGATTTGACCATATCACCGAGCATAGTCACCGAATAGTCGAACAATCAGGCCACATCGAACAAAACGAAGAACGAACATTGACACAGCATCGAAAACAAACAAAAAACTCGCCAAAAATAGTCTCGAAGCACACAAAACTAAATGTGTATATACAGAATACACATTCAATTCGGGACAAAGTAGATGAGGTACGATTAGCAACAAAATCGTGTCCATTTCATATAATTTCTTTCTTCGAAACGTGGCTTCAAATGAACATTACTGACATTGAACATTTTGGCAAACGTTATAATGTGTATCGTGGTGATCGGACGGAACTCACAAGTGATAGAATTGATGGTGGAGGAGTGCTGATTGCTGTTGAATGCCAATTTAACAGTGAAAGGCTGATTCTATCGGAGCGCAGCGGACTTGAGCACGTATGTGTAAAAATTTCGTTCAATTCAGGCAATATTTATGTATTTGCTGTGTACATTCGGTCGGTACATGAAACCGCAAAATTCTTGGAATTTGCTGAGATCGTCAAGCTGATTCCATACAATGAACATGACATTGTAATTGTATGTGGTGATTTTAATCAGCCAGGTGTCAAATGGGTCAAAGCCGATGACGGTGAATATTATTTGCCAATTAATGTGTCCACAGAAGGTGGCATTGCTGTTTTTGACACAATGTTCGACTGTGGATTCCAACAACTGTCAAATATCGTGAATCCAGCCGGCAATGTTTTGGATCTTGTATTCACAAACAGGTTCTACGAAATGTCGTTGATTGAATCGACAAGGCCATTGGTAAAATCGGACATTTGGCACAAAGCACTCGAAATGGAAGTGACAATTGATGAAAATGAGATCACATCACCGCAGTTTTCACAAATTTATGCGTATAACTCGGCCGATTTCGATGCGATGAATTCATTCTTCGTTGGAAATCACATTTTGTCAGAAATTAATCGAATAGATGACCTCGAGAATGCATTTCACATTTTTGGAAATGTTCTACACGAGGCGATCGATTCATTTGTCCCGAGGATAACCGTTCAAAGTGGCACTGATCCACCATGGTACACGAAACAATTGAAGAACATGAAAAATGTCAGAAGAAAAGCATACAAGCAGGCAAGGCAGACTGGCAATTTCGATGAATACAATAACATCACGGATTCGTTCATCCAATTACAAAGTCAGTTATTTAAATCGTACATCAGCCGCATACAATCACAAATCAAATCAAATCCAAAACACTTTTGGCGATTTGTGAATGATCGAAGGAAACGGAGCGATATTCCAGCTATCGTTGAGTATAATGATGTGACAGCGAATACCGACACATCGAAAGCGGAATTATTCGCTGATTTTTTCGAAAATCAGTACACACGAAGCGACATTATCGACTTGGATGAATTGCTGGATGGATGTGGAGACGTATCATTTGACTTTGAAATCACTGAAGCCGATGTGTTAAAGGCATTGCAATCCATTGACGCGAACAAAGGAGCCGGTCCAGATGGAATATCACCGAAAGTGTTGAAGAACTGCGCACACTCATTGTCGAAACCGTTAACAGCGCTATTTCGTAGATCATTTCAACAAGGATGTGTTCCAGATGCATTGAAAAAGTCCAGAATTGTGCCAATTTACAAGGCTGGTAAAAAGAGCAATGCAGTGAATTACAGGCCAGTTGTGATCATACCAACAGTAGCCAAATTATTCGAAATTGTTGTCTATGCCAAAATCGACACATTTGTTAATGCACAAATCAGCCACAATCAACATGGATTCGTGAAAAATCGATCAACCTCAACAAATTTACTGCAAATGGTAAATTTCACGATGGACTCAATGGTCAATAAATGTCAAACGGATGTGCTGTACACAGATTTTGAGAAGGCCTTCGATCGTGTGAACCACAAGAAATTGTTGCAGAAGTTGGTGAGATTTGGATTCGGCCGCCAAATTGTCAAATGGTTCCATGGTTATTTGACATCACGATCGCAGTTTGTTGGAATTGGTGAAAAAAAGTCAAGGAGTTTCATTGTACCATCGGGAGTACCCGCGGGAAGTATTTTGGGACCATGTCTCTTTATTATTTTCATAAACGATATTGTTGAAACTGTGTCAAATGCACTTGTTTTATTATTTGCAGATGATCTGAAATTGATCCGCACTATTCATTCGCCCATTGATGCCATCATTTTTCAAAAAGCCATTGATCAATTGAGCGACTGGTGTAACGAAAACAACCTGCATTTGAATCTGAAGAAGTGCTACGTAATGACGTATGCAAAGGGTGCAAACGTAGTCAACTA